TGATGGGGTTAAAACTAAGAACAATAACTCTTCATCAGGGCTAAATCCAAAACAATTTAAAAGATCTTAAAAGTCTAAAATACCTTAAATCAAGTGGTAAGAAAAACCCCCAAAAGGGTTATGGATAAAAACATGGTCACATTTTTCATTTCAAGTGGGTTTGTGCTCAGCTCTTAAAGGTAACAGGTTCTTTTGGTCATAGCCCTGGTCACTTAATTTGTGCACAGAGGAGATAGTGTTGCATTTGTAAATGAATAATTAAAGTCTCCCTCTCTAAGATAACCGTGTGGCTTTGGACATCGCTGCCTAATTCAGCAGTGTGATGTGGAGGGTGAGAGCTCCCAAAATAACTGACTGGATATTCAGTATAATTGGGGGGCTAGATCCATATTAAAAACATGAAATGCTTTTTAATTTAATATTAATATTTAATGTTTGAAACATCCAATGCTTTTAATGTGCCTGGGGGTGTTATTTTGGTGATTCGTGTTTAACGATGCCGTTATTTTCTGACGAGTTTGAAACATCTTTTGGAAAAGAGAAACTCTTTAATAACAGGGGAGTTATTATCCGAAAGAAGATGCTAATTTGGTGCTTGAGATGAGGCGATGGTAAGTTTCTGTGTTCTAATAATTCTAATCCTAGCGACGATGCTGATAGAAGAGAATTAGAGTGATGTTAATGTAATACCTCTGTGATGACTATAACTTTTCCATAGCCAGCAATTCAATTAGCCTTAATAACTTTGCAGGAAGACATTTGGTCTTTTAGTATGCCTAAAACTGGGTTATGTTATTGCGAATTTCAAACGTTCGTTGCTGTTTTTCTTAAGAACTGAGGGTAATGATCAAGTTTATCAGTTGAACGGTTGAATTTGAAATATGACTTCGAGGAACTGTTGCCTTTCTGCTGGTTTATGATTGTAGGAGAAACCACTGGGAACCTCTGAGAGTGAGTTTTCAGAATGCTTTTCATGGTGCGATCAGTGCTCAAACTGATCAGAATTTATGACACTGTGTTTTGCATCAAAATAATTCTGGTGCTCCCTGTGGCACAGTTGTATTTTACATGCAGAAAAGAACTTCCTTTTTCCCTGCCTGCGAAGCAGAACTGCTCGGTGCTTCAACTGTGAGAAACTAATGGAAGGCCTAATGTGATGCGTAAAATCTTTATTCATAGCTGGGAATCCGTACGCATTCACATGTGGAAAATGCAAGTCCAATTTGATTTATTTTGATTTTTTTTTCCTTCCGGCTTTATAATGGTAACACATTAAAGGATTTTAACTTAATAATATCCTTAATCTGTGAACAGGCATTCTAGAAGTCTTTACGTGGATGCAAATTGATATGGAAATGTAATTTTCAAGTCCTGTGTTCACACTGAATGGCATAAATAATGAAGTAGGCTCGCTGCAGCTAGAGTTTCATCCTTTTTGTAAGGTACCAGCCAATGCTTTTTTTTTTTTTTTACACTCCAGAAAGATGTCATCAGATACTGTGTTTCCATAAGGAATTATGCAGTTTGCACACAGTGTCTTTTTTAACTAATTAGGACCCAGGAAGCACTCCAGAGAAACCCCCAAAACATTGTGTTTTCAAGTTACTTCGAGGTTGTGGTTCAGCTCCTTGAGCCCACATTGGGATAGGTCAAAGCAGCCTTGATTGCTGGACAGTGTAAGCATAAAACCCCCTTAAACCTACAGCTTTGAACGATCAAACGTGAAAACAAGTGATAAATGCTCCATCCCTGGCAGTGTTCACGCTTCAACAGAGCTTTGGGTGACATGGTCTGGTGTGAGGCAGGGGGTTGGAACTGAATGATCTTGCAGTCCTTTCCAACCCAACCCGGCCTGGGATTCTGTGGTGCTCTGAATACCACAAAGTGTGCCTTTCGTTGAAGTTGTTGCCCAGTTAATGTATCCTGTTAAAAGAAAGCATTCACTGTCCTTTATTGATTATTCTTATCAAAGAACGACTGGAATTCAGTTCAGTCTCCTCACAAAGCAGTGGTGATGATGAGTTCAGGCCCAGTGCTCCAAGAATAAAGCAGTTGTCCTCATGGATCAGTTTCTGTCATCCCACTTTATCTGCCTGCTCTTCCTCATGTGTCTTCACAGTTCCTTCCTCCTGCCTTTTCTGCTGCTGCCGCTGTCTTTGATAGGCGTTGCAGAAGAGTGAAGATTTTTCTGCTCTTAGCTCAGTCTCTAGGCTCATTTGGGTTAGAATCAATAATTCAAAGAACACTGGATGTTGTTCCACTGGCTCCAGACATTCCCCGTTGTCCATATGCAGCCTTGGGAGGGGAAGGAGCCTGCCTACTGGCAGCAGAACCTTGGGAGACTTCATAGACTCATAGAATCATAGAATCGTTAGGGTTGGAAAGGACCTTAACATCATCTAGTTCCATCCTAGTTCATCTTTTCCATCTAGTTCATCTGTTAAACCTTGGGGTCACAAATGAGTATATGCAAACAGAGGCTTTTGGCCCATCACAGAGCTTTCCTGTATTTAGGAAGGCTCCATGAAAATGGAAAATGGACAACGGACCACCGCTGAACGAGCACCTGACACGTGCCAGATGTTCCCCTCTTCATCATGGAGCACTAGTGCTTTTGAAGAACTAAAGTAAAGAACACCGATAGAGCGGTGAGGTTTCTTCCTTCAGTTCGTGCTTGGTCATGGCTTATTTTGTGTTGAAACACAGCACCTAACAAAAAGGGTAAGGCAGTTGCCATAAAGTTCAGCTGTAACAAGTGATTTCAATGAAATTGCGGGCAACTCCAAGCAGATTCCTGGAGGGAATATCAGGTAATCTTAGTAGGATGTGCAGCCAACGTCTTCTGTGAACAAAGGGATTTTTCCTACCCCTATTTATTCATAATAGTAAAGGAGTTTTGGCTTCCTTTCCGTTCTGGTGCAGAATAGAATTGCACTTTCCTCCCCGTGTTGCTCTGCTTGGTGCAGCAGGACAGCTCCATCCTAAAGGACTGGTGAGGAGCTCTCTATGGAGTTCTGTGTTTCTTCTCTACTGTCTGAGATTGAAGGTATTGGAGGCGTGCTCCTCCCTGCTGTACTGTTTGTTCTGGCCCTCTTCAGCAGTTATACTGTGTTATGGTTCATGTTCTGTCTTGGACTTTAGTGGGTTGGAAGGTAAAGGTCACATTTGGAAGGTTTCCAGTTGTTTCTGGCTTTGCCTCCAGTTCTGCAGAAGACGGTGTTCCCAGCCTAACCCTGTTGAGAATTGCTCATGCTTTTCCCAGTTTCCTGATAGGATCTAACAAAAGAAGGAAGGCTTTTACTCCAGCTTGATTTTGCCTAAGTAGAGGCTCAGTTTTGTCCTTTTGGGACATCTTTGGTTGCTATTCTGGCGTTTCCTCAGTCAGTTTGTCAGGATGGGTAGTTCAGAGGTATCGGAAGGCTCCTTTCTGTGTGAAAACGGTCAGGCTTCTAGGCACAATGTTATGCGATCGCTTCTGCTCAGAGGTAAAAAGTGAAGCAAATCCTCAGTTTCAGGTAGGTCTGGGTGTCCAGCTCAAAATAGAAGTGTGGATCTGGCCCATTCCGTAGAAGGATTGGGGAAGGTTTCTTTTCCAGTTCTTAAAACCCACCTGTATGCTTATTTATGGGCAGCACCACAAGCACAAATGTTCCCTGGCCTCCCGCAGCACAAACTGAGGAGGTTGTGGAGCTGCCTGTGTGTCTCAGCCAGCATTTTGACACAGATGCACGAGTCCAGTTTACAAAGGGCATCTGTAGACTGATTTCACTGGGAAGGCTCGTGGGGCAGTAATTCACAGTTCAGCCCTCTGTTCAAAGCAGGACTAACATTACAGTTGGATTCTAGAACTGATCTAGGCAATCTGTTTCAGTGATAAGCCCCTCCTAGTCCGGGATATTTTTCCCCTCATCTCCAACTGGAATTTTCCTTGTTGCTACTTTGGACTGGTACCTCTTGTCCTTTCGTATCTGTATTGCAGCTCTGAGAATGCAGAAGCTGTTGCCAAATGTTCTTTAATCCCACTCCTTTTTACGTGGTGAAAGATGTTGTCGCGCAGCATTGTGCTCCTAAAGTGAAGTGCCAAGATCTTGGCAAATGGAATGCATAAATCTGATAAATCTTCATAAATCTTTTGTAAATAGAAAAAGTTCAACCCCCACAATGGGATTTATGATAGCGAGTAGAGACTAGCAAAAACGGCAGGAAGGAGGGATGTGTGAAATCCTGGCTTTCATCCAGATGAATACAGCCACTTTCAGTCCTGGAAGATGCATATCTGTGTGTTGAGGCCCCCCAAAACCACTTTAATGTTAAGGTGTCTTGTTACTTCAAGGTCCTCCTCTCCCTGTTTGGAATGCAGGTTTGAGACATGTCTGATGTAGCAGGCTATACTGTTTATGAATTGATCAGCACACTATTAATAAACCAAATAACAGATTGATTATCTAATAAATATACCACTATGAATCACAGTTCCGTAATGCCTTACACTATTGTTAATTGCAACCATATATTGAGTTCTGTCCCTTTTTCTTACAAACTGCACCCAAATGTTGTTGAAGTATAGATCTATAGCACTTCAGTTTAACCTCTCACACAAACTTGCAACTCTGTTGCCTTCCAACACCTCACATCAAGCCTTTCTGGGTTGCCAGAGGTAGCCAAACCTCCAACCCCTTCCAGGAAGGATGCTCTTGGCTTCTTTCCAGTGTGCTCTATCAAAACTCAGCCTTGGCATCTGGTGATAATCCCTCCATCGTCTGCAGAGATCCTGCCTTGTTACGGATCCTCCCTTAGGTTAGGACCAGTTACATTTCTGTTCTTTGGAAAGAGGATTAAACATTAACTCAAATTTAAGGGGTGTGGGGTTTTTAGTTGTGTCTTGCACATATATTTGGAACCTCAGTAGTATTTATTAATGATCAATTCTGATAATATAACTTTTACGAGTTAAACTTTCACGAGACTTCTGAAAATGTGTTTCCTTCTGTTTCTTTTAGTATCTCCTGAAGCAATCGGATTCCTGTCTGCCGTCGGGGTGTTCATTGTTCTCATGTTGCTGCTTTTTCTATATATCAATAAGAAGATGTGTTTTGAAAATGTCAGTGGTTTCCCAGATCTTGATTCGGGATACACTACAAGAAAGAACTCACAAGAGAAACTTTGTAAGTATCTGAAATGCAGTGTACTAACCTTAATTTTGAGAACCCATTATTACAAGGATGTGTAGAAATACACAATCACTTGACTCAAGTGATAAACACATGGAATGTTGACTTTTCCTGTGAGTGCAGTATGTGGGAAAGGCAGAAACCACAGAAATTCGACGGCTCTGTAACCAAAGAGTTGGCATTTAGGTATGGGAAGCTACTTCTCTTGCACTATGAGAAGGCTCTTGAATGGATTTTAAGCATTCCCTAATGGGATACAATTAAATCTTCTCGAGTACATTTGTGAATGGGATTATTTGTTTTTCACTCAGCCTGTTCAAAGCCTTCAGCAACCTATTGGAGAAGGCCTTGCATTTACTCCCCTGGAAAACTGGAGAGGTTTTCTTCCCCTTTACCTCTTTAAAAGGAGCAGTTATATATTTTCAGGTTTTTTGGAGGCGAAGTTCCCCTCCCCCCCAAAAAAATGAAGTCTTCATGTTCCAAAAGATCTTACCTTATGTATCCTTAACCAAAGACAACGGGTATTTGGGGGCGAAGAAGTTTCCATAATGCGTGTTTTAGGGCAGCTATCATGTGAAAAGCTTGGTTTAGTGTGACACTGATGAAAGGACATAATATAAATGTCTCACAACTTCTTCCTTGCAGGTTAGAATTAAACCCCCATATTTCCACCTCACACAGTTGTCTTATTTATGAAAGTAATGAATTCTGTAATGGCTAGTTGGTGCTGCAGTCGATGAATGACTATGGTTTTGCTGGTTCATTTCAAGACACTTAGCTGCTTTCTTATTATTTTCAATGGATATTGAGTGGAAACAGCAAAGCTGCAGCTTCCTCTGGTAAATGTGTGGAGTTTGAGATGGGAGCAGCACATAGCTCTGAAGTTGGAGAAACGGAGCTGATCCGTTTGTGAAGCGGAGAACCTTTCGGGATCCGAAGTTGCTGCTGAACAGGTTGGACAGATGGCGTTTTTCAGGCACCTCCACCAAAATCTGAGCCTCCCCTCTGTGTCTTCTCTGGTGGACACGCTCAGCAGTGCTGTGGATGATCTGACCAGCGCTGTGGGAGAGGTCGGCTACAGTGTAGCCGATTCGGTAACAGAGCAAGTGACAAACATGCTGAATGGCCTTCGTGCAGAAGGTGACAGCTCCAGAGCGCAGAACGATAAACCTGTGGAAGGCAGAGAGGAACATACGCCATCATTAACTCAGGAAAGTCATGTGAAAGCCAAGAGAGGTACTGCAGAGCACAGAGAGACTCATTATTGTAATTCATTAGGTCCTGTACAAAACGGTACAGGTCAGGATGGAGTATCTGACCGTGGCACGGACAAAAACCAGCGCGAGTCAAAAGGCACAGATAGCGATAATGGTTTAAGTGACACCGAAGTCACTCAGGATTTGAAGACTGTAGGAGGACCTCTTAAAAGGGAAGCGGTAGGAGGAAAGGAGTGTTTTGTAAATGATAAGTACTTAAAGGATAATAACCTGAAAAACAATCAGTTTACTACGGAACAACCCATTGAGGAACAAGGTAATTCCCTGCGTGCAGCACCAGGTAATTCTCAGAATCACTTGAACAGAAAAGTCAAAGCACGGTCACCTGGAGCGGATGCTGAGGCTTCTGACAAAGTGCACGCTATGAATGTTCCACAGGATTCAGAAACAAAACTTGAAGTACAGAAGCCGCAATCAGCCGACTCCAGCTTGACGAAGATGAACGATGAGCACCCCAGTGGCATTAATGAAGTCAAAGGAAAGAAACCTGAAGCCTTTTTGGGTAGAAAAGGAAAATCCCTGTCGAAGGGTGAAGACGGTGTGGGAACCCCAATTGCAGAAGTGGGTCAAAAGAAAAACTCAAAGAAATCAGGCAGAGAGCTGTGTAATAAGAAGACAGCAGGAAAAGGTGAGGAGCCCCTCAGCAAACTGCATTCTTCAGCCTTTCCTGAAACTTCTGATACTTACTACTTTCTTCCCCTGCTTCACACATCTAATAATAGTGCTTCCTGTGGATGAATGCAGGCTGTTTCGTCAGGACTTCTTTCTCTAATTATATTGCTATTTCTTGGAAGTTCACTACTTTTTAAAGTATGATTTAAGGGAGCTGGTTAATAAATGCCTTTCCTATGTTCTAACTCTTCTACATACAGTTTTTCTCACTTTCTCTGCAGTGCCTTGTGTGGTTTCTTGTGAAAACTAAGGATTAATACTGGAAATGAGCACTTGTTCTGTGAAAGTGGGTTTCATGTTGTGTATTTTAAAAGCATTGCAAAAGAAAGAACTTCTGTTGCATGGACGTTGTGGTAGATGTGCAGAATGTATTTTGGGGATATGCAAGGTAATGATTCCAAGACACAAAACTCAGTGAGAAGAGGCAATTAAGTGATTTTAAGTATAGAAAGACTGGAATGAGGCTTGTCTTAAAGTTGCAGTCTTGCACAGAAAACCCGTGTGTTGTCGATACGGATGCTGTGCACCTTGGCTTCAGCATCCAGTCTTAAACAGTATGACAATGGAATTGCAGTAGTAGTTTGTAAGTAACAAGTACAACCTTGCATTTTTACACAGTCGTTGTGCAGGCCGTGCAGTGAAGATTTAGAAAGCAGCACAGGCTTTTCCAGCGATGCTGTCTCTGTGGAGGAGTAACTGGTTTTGTAATACAAAGGGGGTTTTAATTTGATTTAAGAGGTGGTTTCTGTGTTTGTGTGATAAACTGGGATCTGATCTGTTATTTCTTCATGTAATACATTATTTGTGAAGTATGTTTTTTCCTTGTGTGGTTCAGAAACCGGGGGTTGGACTAAATGACCTTGAAGGTCCCTTCCCATCCAAGATATTCTATGATTCTGTATTCTCTTATCAAAAATGGCATTTGGCATCCCATAATAAGCAAACGAATAGCTTTCAGTAGGTTAATAATTACCTATGACCTGCGTTAGCCAAGTAAAGGGAAGGTTTTACCAACACCACGAGTTCTCTTAGGCAAGTTTCCAGCTAAGATGACAAACTCAAAAGACAAGTGGGGAGGTGTAAAACCCTGAGGGTTTTTTTTAGTCTGCAGGGAGCTGTTTTTCCCGAAGAGACAGATTTATATTGTTCGTTTAAAACCTGCTTGCATGGATAGCTTGTGTTTTAGCTTTAGTGTGGTTGAAGTTAAGGTGTGGCTCAGGACTGGGAATGACAGCGTGCATCCTTCTTCCTGTTTCATGCTAGGAACTGGAGAAAAAAGACCTGGTGTCACGGAGAACTTCTGGATGCTTACAAATGTCAGTGTATTATTAGAGACAGGACTTCCAGCACTTCCTTCAGACATGTTGCTGCCCTGTTCTGCACCATTCCATTCTTTATGCAGGCTGATTCACGAACCTGATTTCCTATTTGTGAATGCATCTTTTTGTCACGATAAATAATGCATCTAATAGTGATGGCACTAGATTTTATTCCTGCTACGCCCTGCTTTAATTACACTTGTGGAAATCTGTGGAAGTTTCCTAGGTGGCAGGTTTCAACCTGTTGAGGGCCTTACGAGAGAGAGGATTTTACTCTTGTACCAGCAAAGGAGGCTTCTTTCTCTGGGCAGCTTCTTTCAATGAATCTGATAGCCAGAGGATATATCCTGCTTGGTGTGATATTTTCAGTAAGTGATCAGCGAAACTGAACGTGCTTTGTAGTCATCCATGCAATGGGAAGAACCATATCGGTTATGCTTGAATTCAAGTTGAAAGATGTAGCTGCTCTGTTAAGTCACCAGTTTTCCTATAAAGACTAAATCAGGATTACAAACACATTGCCTGCGGAACTGGTAGCACCATCTGCAGTTGAGGTTTCCTGACGCTTTCCGTTTCAAGACTGTCTTTTCAGTTCCCTGAAACTATTTGCCAAACCCGAAACGCTTGGGATGAAGTTTGGCATGCTTTCTGTCTGAGAGCCTTTCGGTGGCGGAGTTTTTTGTTTGCAAATCTGTTTCCAGGAGTAGACTATGGGATAGACATGCTGGTTATCAGTGTAAGAAGTAAGTAGCTTTCACGTCCGCTTCACTAAGATGCTGTGGCACCTTTGTATATTGGAATGTGTACTTGAAATGCGGGAGAGCGCTTTTCCTGTGTCAGAGATGCCCATGTTCTCCTGTGGAACAAAATGTTCGCCCAAGCTGTAAATCTTTGGAAACATTGCTGTTTGAAAAGGCAGAGTAAACACTCGTTATAATTTGCTGATTATGTTCACTAGCTGTTCCATTGGCACTCATATGCATCACTGTAGGAGCGGAAGAACGGAGTAAAGTCTTCTCCTGCTTTATGATACTTAGGTCCTGTTCAAACTTCCAGTGTCCTTTAGTAGGGTTGAGAATAAACATGACTTACGTGAGGACAGAAACTTCCTGAACGAATGTGACCTGATGCAAGTGGTAGACTGGGATTTGACGTAGGCTGAGTGACAGCTAGGAAGAGAGCTGATAACATTATCTGAAGGTGGAGGGACTAAGGGTGAAGGACTAAGGTTACACGAGTAGCTGGTTTAGGTGCAAGTAAATACAATCTGTGATTGAATAGACAAGGAGAATAAAGAGGAAATCCCCATAAGAGACCTAAAGTGGATGCTTGGAGCAGGAGCCTGGACTGTGGGGCAAGGAGACACGAATTTAGGTTAAGGTTCTACTCAGATAAATGTGATTTTTCAGAACATGTCTTACCTAAGCTTGCAGCATAGGCTTTTCTTTGTGAGTGCAGGGGAGAAATAGACCTCAATGGGAAGTGGTTTTACTCGTCTCCTCTAGAGGCTTCCCTGAAAGTGGGAAGGATCTCTGACTAGGCGGCTGCCCGAGGTTAAGTTACTTAAATTTTAAATGGCTGAATTATGGACAAGCTGAATTCCTCCTTTACCTCAAATAGCCGAGCAGAAGAGTGAGACTGACTGGGCACGAAGGAGGAGACTAATGGGAGGGGAAATGCAGAACTGGAGCTAAGGACAGGGAGGGGGCAGGTGGCATAAAAGCAGGGAGTGGAGAAGGGGTTGAGCACGGCTGGATAACGTATTTGACAATATTCCCTTGCAGAATCAGGAGCTGAAACCCAGCATTATTGGCCTCTCAGAGCTCTGCTGGTAACGGAAATCCATTGACAAATCGTATAGTTGCAGAGGTTGGCTTTCAGGGTAGTGGTAATGCTGACCTTTAGTGCATTTACAGGAACTTGCTTTCATTCCTCTTAGCATTAGAGATGTACAGAACCTCTGCGTGGCATGTTAAAATTGGACAGCATCTGTTTGAGGTGTGGAAAAGGGAGGAGGAAACTTTCCTTTTACAGGAATAAAGCTGCAGCTGAGTCTTTGACTTGTGGGAGGAAGTCATGCTGGAGATGTAGCTGGAGAAAGTTGGCAGCAGGAGCAGGCATTATGGAGCGGGTATCAGAGAATTAACGAGATAGATCCCTCTGTGTAATTTTTGCTGTTGCCAGATGTCTGCAATGAGAATCTTCATTAATGTCAGTTATGGAACAAGTGGCTGTTTATTGTAAGTTAAATAATATCGTGCATGAAAACATCCTTCATGAGCATTTTCCCATTTGTTACTGTGAGTTTAAGCACTACTGACACAAATATCCTAAGATGACTTTGTAGGCTTCTTGTTGTCAATTGGTTTCATTTCTATGTTGCATGCTGGCAGCAAAAATCAGCTGGGAATGGAGGATCGGGAGCTGCCTTTTTGATACGTTAGATATCCAAATGTAATGTTGGGTAGTGTTGGATTTCCTTTACGTAAAATATTTTAAGCTTTTTCTTACTTAATGAAGGTCTTCAAGAACTTGAGTGTGTGCTGCCTTATGTAAATTGATCCATTTTCTCTTGAATAAGTTTTAGAATGGTTTTTTGGGGGCTTAATGAATTTTCAGTTTTTCTAGGAAAAAAAAATAGCTCTCACCGATTACAGAATCACATAATACTTGTAATTACAACAAGATGATCTTTAAAAAATATTAGAGAAATTTGAATTGAAATAGCATAAATATCTTCAGTTATAACCTTTGATGGTTATTTTCTTGTATTCTGTTTTGAGCTGTAGTCGATTTGCTTTATTTTATTCAAACAGACAACTCTTATATGAGTAAAGACCAGCATGGTTCATCATCTGAGAGTGAAGATGAAGCACTGGGTAAATATCATGAGGCCTTGTCTAGAACCCAGAGTTCCAGGCTGCCAGTGGTGGATGGCAGACAGCAAAAAAACTATGTATGGGAAACCAGACAAAAATATAGTCCCCTGTCCGCAGAATATGATGGATACAGTAGTGAAGCCTCAATAGATGAAGGTAAGAGTGATTTAAAAGCATTCCTTTTATTCCAAATTTCAGAATGATGTTCTGGATAAGTAAGTCACGTACAGCTTGACTTGTAAATGGTCAACGTCTGTAAGAAATATCCAGATACCTTTTATATTTGTGCATGCTCAAGACAAAGAAAAGAACGGCAGAGACTTGTGCACATTCATGCAAGTGATGCGGTACCTTGTTATATGAAGTTTTGTGCATTTTATCATCAGTAATTCTGTTTTGGGGGGAATTTAAAGCCGTTTTGATTTAGGAAGGCAATACGGCAACTCTTGATGAATTCTGTGGTATTATAAATACAAAGGCAACCTGTTACTCATCTCTTGATAAGCTGTCATCTCAGCAGAGTAACTGGAATTGGTTATTGGTTACGGTGCATATGGTCCTTGCAGTGTGCATTACTGAAATGTTCTCTATCTTTTCTTCTTTTGAAATCGCAGGAAGAAATTATCACAAATAGTAGATTAATATCTTTTTTCCATGGCATTAATAACTCTGGCTGTTTCCTTTGTGGTATATATTTCTTGATTTTAAGTTAGGGTGACAATCTGATATAGAGGCGAAGAATTCTGCTGTCGGTATTATGTCAATATGCTTTCTGTGCTTGAAAATATGTGAGAACTGTGTCTATGGCCATTTTCTAGGGTGAAAAGTGAGCTTTTGTTACATAAAAGATTCTGATATAGATGCTGTGTTATAGTAAGATATTTGTTGGTCTCCTTTTAATATGTTAAAATGCAAAGTTTTTTTACTAATTGATATTTTCATGTAACGTCATACACGTAATCCTTAGATATCTGTCCTCAGATGTTCTATACAGCCCGGAAGTGCTCGCAGATGTCCGAGTTTCTACTATGTGATGTAATTGAATAATATGAAAGTCTGTTTGCCACTGACATTTGAAATCAGTGCATGCTCATTCACACTTCCAAGTTAAGACTCAAAGGATGTGAAAGCCATGATTGAAGTAAGTTGCAGAGTCAGGGGATTATTTCCTGATCATCAGAAATACTGGTTCTTTCATTTGCTGTGATCTGATAGGAAGGCTTGGGAGTCTGAGTTCCAGCAAATAGGGAAGGAGATGCAGAAGTGGGAGCAGGTGGTAAGATCTGATCCTGGGACACTGTGATGGACCAGGACGGCAAGGAAGAGGGATAGCGAAAGTATCATGTTTGGGTTTTATATCTACTGAGAATACTAATAGGAAAGGTACTAATTTTTCTGTGGCTTATGTCGTGGCTCGGAAAGAATGGTGATGTGTGTTAACAGGAGATGGAAGACTCAACTGTATTTATTAGCAAATAATAACCAGATTGAAATGATACAAGAAGAGTACTTTCAGATACCCAGAATTGTGTATTTGTCTCTTTGCAGACTGTTGAGGCTGGTTGTTGAAATAGTCACAGAACAATTCCACGGTGGAAGGAGCATCTAATATTCCTCTTTCTGTTCCACAATTGCTCAGGTTTATTTTTTTTCCCCTACCTAGTTCATCATTTCAGGGAAAGGTTCCCAGTTCACCTGAGCTTTTTACTACGAGATACAAGCTCCAGAGCTATTGTGGTAGCCTGTATCCAGGTTTTTGGTTTGTTTTCATCATTTTCTTCCTTAGCATCCTCTCAGAAAATCAGAATTCATCGGTGATGACTTTCATCCTCTTCTGGGGAATTGGTGACATGTTTTAGTGGTGGACTTGGCAGTCCTAGGGTAAAGGTTGGACTTGATGATCTTAAGGTCCTTTCCAACCCAAACCATTCTATTATTCTATGTCATAGTTAGAATCCAAGACAAAAGGGCCCTGATGTCAAGTCCAGGTATTGCATCGGGAAAGTTACAACTGTTTCCCTTCTCCTCCTCTTTCATTTTGTCTTGTATTGCTAAAGATATCTGCTGCCAGCTGCTATCCCTTCTCAATGCTCTTTCCATTCAGGAAGCTGGCTGGATGTTAAACCCATTTTTATATATGCACACACACATATTCACTCTAAAATTAGTATGCAAATTAAATTTAGTATAATGAGAGAACATTCAGGGTTTGGAGAAAAGAAACCTTGCAAAGCAAAAACCATCAAAACATTCTAACTTAGAAACTTGTAAATTTTTAACCACATGCTTCTGCTTGCAAAATGCTTTACGAAGGTCAGTATTTTGCTTTTCCTGCCGCTTGCGAGAGCTTTCTCTTCCCATGTTTTACAAGGAGTGGAGAATCGGCAATGCTGTTTGATAGCCTGCAGTCATTCTGCAGAATGCTTGCAAATCAGAGCACTGATTTAGTCTCAGGTTTGTAATCCATTAATCTCGACAAAATTATGTCCAATGCGATTAAGGGGAGTTTGGTTGTCTTGGCTGCGGAAGCAGATGAGCAGCCTAGTATTTGTCACTCCTCAGTGACCTGAAGGTGGCACACTAGAATAATTAGTGCTAGTACTCTTTATGTTCCTAAATGATTTCAAACAGGAAAGAGGGAGTCTTTACACAATGGTAAAAATGTGTTAGAATAGAGGGAAAGGCGGAGTATGCCTTGTTATGTTATAACCGTTACAAAGGGAAAGCTGCCCAAACCAGAACTGTGATGAAAAGGGAAGGTGGAAACCATGTGAAGGAAACCTGCAGTCAGAACTAAATGAGGGACTGGCTGTCACTACCAAACAGTCCACCTATGTTCAGAAAAAGAGTTCACTCAACAACTGAGGTTAAAAACCTCTGATTCCAAAGGGAGAGCATCAATGCTATAGGTGTTTCCTAGGTGTAATTTTAAAACTCAAAGCTCCTTGAAGTTGCAGATAAAACCTGTAGAAGACTTGATGCCATAGGAATCCTAAGATCTTTCATGACATACTTGCCTTTATGACTGCTGAATTCTTTTTATAGGAAGTGTGAAGGCAAATGATAGAACCATTTCTTAGCTCTCTGTAGAGGAGGGGGAGCAAACTGTATTCCTCTGCACTTATTTCAGCTAAGAAACAATTGACAATACTTGTGACTTTGTGTGCTTCTATTTCCTCATATGCTTTAGCATTTCTACTTCCAAGACTTAAACGCTGCAGCTGTACTTCCCACTTAAGGCACTGATCATCCCGATGGTGAGCAGGGCTTGACAGCGTTACAGTGAAGCGATGAGAGGGCAGAATTCACTTTTGTCCATCTCTGTTTCCCCCCGCTCATTGCTAGTCAGTCAGCCTCTGATGGTATCACTAAGACTTCCACCAGAGGCAGAGTAATATGACTTCATTTCCAGAAAGAACTATGTTATTTTGTCCCCAATCTCTATCGCACGCTGTATCTTGCAACAATGTGCTGCGTTTTCAAAGGAGCCAGTGAGCAGTTTTACTAATAACTGTTTATTCTGCGCTTCTGTTTTCACCCTTTAAACCCACTTGTTCAGTGTCTGCACTTAACAGTGCACGCGTACAATTCAAGGGGACAAAAACACCATCTTGCCTTCATTAATACCCCCCGTAAGCTTTACTTGCGTTGCTAAAAACATGTAGATTAACGTTTGCACTGCTAAGACCATAAAAATGTCTGATCGTATGATTTCAAGGTTCAGTTGTTATCAATTACATAATTAGTTTTTTCTGGCTGCATGCCTCTCAAAATGTTTCATTCTGAAGCCTGATAATGTGTGTGGTATGTTTTCACATTGTTCTTTTCTCCTCTAGATGGCCATAGTAATCTTCCTTTTCAGCATCTTTATATAGAACTGGCATCGCTTTTTGCAAGAGGGTTTTTGTAGTTAAATGAAGAAAGCAGTACCCTTTGTGGGGTTTGTTGGTACGTTTGGGTGATGGAATGTACTAGTAGCACTTTACTTCACTCTAAGAAATTTCGAGTGTTAAATTTTGGTTCACAAATAGCTGCTTATAATCCCTGTCTGATCCACTTGATGTAACTTCAGCAGTGAGCCCCTCATGGGCAGGTGTAATTCCAGAGTGTCTCTAAAGGAGCAGCTGCATCGTTAGAAAAACGCGATGATGACAAGCGAACCTGTCTCCTGCACCATTTTTACACCTGAAATTTCCAATTCTTGCACAAATGACCCAAAACTGTCAATGACAGCAAAGAGAAAAATGTATAACTATAGTATTTCTTGGTATCTCTGTGTGGAATTAAGCCAGTATCTATGCTCAGACCCAGACTTCTAGGTTCAGCTCAATGTTTGAAATCTTATTTAATGCAATAATATCCTTTGTGTTCTCTCTCATGTTATCCAGTAACGTATGGATACTTCCTGATGTCTTTATTCCTTTCCCCTGGCACATACCCTGACAAAACTTCCTTTTCATTTTTATAGTGTGCATCCTACTTCTTCTGTTAATTCTGTACCATTTCAAAGGCTATTATTACCTTGTTGAGTATGTAGTGTTGCCTTTATGTGCTCCAGTTATTTATAATAATTTGGAAGAGGGCATTAATATAGGCTCTGATATTACACATCTGTTTCAGAAAATAAAGAACAAAAATCGGGGAAAACCCCCGCAAAAATAAAGCCATGTTTCTGCCAACAAAGAGATTGAAACTGATCTAAATAAGGAAGTGTACAGCCCTTAAATTGAAAATCAGCATTTTTCATTGGGCTGTGGTAATTGGAAGTATTATTTCGCATCTGTGTTGTTGTGATCATGCCTTCTTAATAACTTCAGATTCCAAAGAGATGCACAATGCGATGTTAAACCGGCCTCTCTGTCTCTCTTGAGGTTTAAAAACCTCAGGCATTATACAGGCAAGTCGCTGTGGTTTTGTTACCTCGGAAAGCTTCATAGTAAAGGACAACGTAGCTTCTTTAAGGAAGCAGCCCCTTAAATTCCTAAAAATGGAAATGTTTCCGTTTGGGAACGCTGGGGTAAATACATTGAAATTAGGCTTTGCAGGCTGATGTCAAAAGCCGTAGGTGGTTCTCTGCTTTTGAAATCAAGATTCTCTGAATCCCCTGGGAAAAGAAAGGTAGGACTGGGGAATAAAACAGTCTGCACTTCCATGGC